TATTTGAATATTACTACTTGGATGTAAAAAGAATATAGATAATGTAACCAAATTATAGTGAAGCGTTATTTTTTCAATTAAAAAGACACCAAGATAATTTTTTTTTTTAAATTGTAGGGCTTAAACCCCGAAGGGAGCCCTTCCAAAAATTCTCAACGGCCAAGGGCGAACCCATGATGAAGAAGGGGTTTGGAAATAGTTTTCAACCAGCAATAGACACGCCTCAATTAGAACCTCACTAGCTGTGTCATTGCCCCAAGTGCAAAGATACACCAAGGTGATTGAATCTTGCTATACGAGAAAAAAGAAAAACACAGGTTGCGATAGACCTTCGACCTAATCTCATTAAGTTTAAGAAAGAGGAAATAATTATTCTTTATACAAATGGATAATCAAAGACTAACAATAGTTTATTAAAGACCACCATGGTTAGTGAAACAAAGGAATCAAAAAGTCATTCCTAAAATTGTTGAAGATTCATCTCATGATCGCTTCTATCTTTCTTCTAATTAAGCTTTTTCTTAAAAGACACTTGTGTTTGACCCAAAAACTGCTTTTGAGAATAAACAGTTAAATTTGTATTTTTTAGGGCGCACCACTAGGAATTTGTTTGATTCGAGATAATTACAAATAATAAATGATAATAAATAAGAAAGTGCATAATAGATTAAATAGAATGATGAAGCAGAGAAAATTCTTCTTAATTTTCGATCCCTAAGCAATCTTCGATCGTAGGAGTGATTGAATTACAAAACTATTGAAAAAGAACCTAATATAAGGTGATATTTTGTATCAAGAGGGTTTTTTTTCTCTTTTCTAATGCCCCTCTCTTGAAGCATTAGGGTAACCTTAATAGTGGTGGATGGAGTGATATCGTTCTGATTTTCGAGCCAGTACGCTAGGGGGTTAGGTAATGGAGAGCGGGATCCTCGATAGTGGTAATCATTCTAGCATAACATTGATATCCACGATCTAAGGATGTGGTTGGATGAGTCTCCAAATATGTATTCCTACCTCTCGAATGCATGACCTTCTAATGACCATTATCCTCATATCAAGAGGGCCTGTGGAACCTGGAACCAGGTCCCACCACTCATCTCGATCTCTGGATCTCACTTGCCACGTGGGACTTTCTGGGCGCGCCATGTGAAGAGGGTAAATTTTACCATAAAACTTGAACATCAATAAATGATCGCATGCAAATTTATACAACCCTCTCGGTTATCCCCTCGGCTTGATTAATCAAACATGGCATGGGCATGACGAAGGATTTACATAATGGACCTCGGTACGACCCTATGATGACTGTGAAATCCTATTGACGAGGCTATCCGACATGGGCAGGTGTTGATGGGAATGGACTGTGGCACGACGACATGTGGATTAGATGTCAAAGCTTAACAAGACCATTTGGATGGACATACGTTCATGGGGGAGACAAAACTCTTCTTTTCTAGGGATCGCTTCAAGTGTTTGAGATAGACTGGTTTTATTCGGGACCATGTGAAGGATTTTTCATCCTTGTTGCTGGACATCCAAAATATGTCGGATGAGGATAAATTGCACAATTTTCATTTTCGGAATGCAAGACTGGGCACAAAACGAAATTCGTAGCAGAAAGTTAAAGATCTGCCTAGTGTAATTGCGACAGCGGATGCATTGATGGATTTTCTCCACAACCTCTACCAATTTCGAAGTGTTCGTGGGCTTTTATTTCTATGGACTTTATCAGTGAGCTTCCAAAAGTTAATGGCATAGCATCAATTATGGTGGTGGTAGAGAGATTCTCAAAGTATGAAATTTTTGTTGTTGCTCCAACGTTTTGTTCTTCTGAAGTAGCTGTTGAATTATTCTACAAGCATGTTGTGAAACACTTTGGGTTCTAAGGGATATTGTGAGTGATCGGTATCCGAGATTTACAGGCCGATATTGGATTGATTTATTCAAATTCTTGGGGACTAATTTGAAATTCTCGATTGCAAATCACCCACAAAACCGATGGGCAGACCGAGCGTATCAATCATCTACTTGAAAAGTACCTGAGGCATCATGTGACTGCTAATCAGAGGAATTGGGTTGAGTTACTAGACAGTGCACAGTTGTGTTACAACTTGCACAAGTCTTGGGCAACTGAAATGAGTCCATTTGAGATTGTGTTGGGAAGACGGCCTGACACGCCACTGGAAGTTGCTCAGTTGAAATCAGGGGCCAAGTGTCTTGCTGCCTATAGATATGTTCGAGACAAGCATGAGTTACTAGCTGAGGTGAGAGACAACTTGAGAAGAATGGCTAAAAATGAAAAGGAATGCTGACATAAATAGGCAGCCTTTGGAGTTCAATGTTGGTGACAAGGTGTTGCTGAAGCTTACTCTACAGATTTAGAAGAAAATCAGTAGCAAGACGCGTCATCATGGAATGATTCCAAAGTATGACAACCCGTTTGAAGTTGTAAAGAAGGTGGGTGAAATGTCCTACCGGCTGAATCTGCTGGAACGTTTCAAAATTCACCCAACTTTTCATGTGAATTTCTTGAAACGGTTCCATGAAGATGTTGAGGATCCAACAAGGGCGGTGCCAAAGTGTGCTCCTCCAGTAGAGTGCAAGCAATTTGAGGAGACTATTGAGAAGATTTTGGATCACCATACGCTAGGTCAAACTAAAAATAACAGGCCGATAGAGTTCCTGGTTCAATGGACAAGAAAGCAGGAGTGTGATGCAACTTGGGAGAAAGGACCGTTTCTATGGCAATTCCAGGATCAAAGGAAGGCGTATCTGGACTCTGCCTCGTCGAGGTTAACGAGCTCATCTGGTGGGGGAAGTTTGTTAGTCCCTCGGCTTGATCGATCGAACATGGCATGGGCGTGATGAGGGATTTACATGATGGACCTCAGCACGACCCTATGATGACTGTGGCATCCTATTGATAAGGTTGTCCGACATGGGCAGGTGTTGATGGGCATGGACTATAGCACGACAGCATATGAATTAGGTTCCAAGGCATGACAAGACCATGGCATTGGCATGGTCATGGCAAGGCAAAGACAACGAGAAGCAAAAGCATAAGAAGGGCTGGAAAAACTAAGGCAAGCTAAGGCAGGGCGTGGCAAGGCAGATGAGGGCGGACAAGGCAGTGTTATAGGCGAGCTGTGCATGCGGCATTGGTAGAAATGCGCGCAAGGCAAGCTGCACATTGTCATGGCGCGAAGGCATGACAAGGTTGGGCTCGTTGGCGCCAAAATTCGAAGGCTGCACCCATGTGCCACGTGCATGTAAGGTAGTTGGCCAGTTGGACAATTTCCTGTTTTTCAGCATGAGTGGCTATGCGGGGCTTGGGCAGTTGTCTGTTTTGAAATTTGAAATTTGAAATCCTTTGCAGTTGGGGATGTCAACTGCTAGATTAGGATAAGGCTGTGAGCCAAAAACGTTTGCCTATATATGCTTAAGCTAGGCAGACTTGTCAAGGCAGAGTTTTGGCTTTCTTTGGCTATTTTTTTGTAAGGTTTTTGTATGTGTTTCTTTGTAGCATGTGTAATACAAAGTTGCGAAGTGATTCCTGTAAACTGTGTCTTGTCTGATTTCTGTTGCCTTTTATATTCTAATTATCAAACCAAAACGTAAGGGAAAAAGGAAGAGGGTTAATTCATTGTTGTGTGACTGTCGTGCAGTGTCAAAACGAAAAAAATGGACCCTGTAACGCCCTCCCCTTTTTGTAGTTGGATCTTCATGCCGATTATTTTCAAAAAATAAAACATTATGGAATTCAAATAATAAGAGGAGACCCGTGATTCTTTACTATTGAACGTAGCCTTTACAAAAAGTTTCAATTAAAGCAAAACAAAAATTAAGGAGCCACAAAAGCAGCTTCTTTTGCGTCAGTAATGAGGCATGTTAATTTACCTTTGCACCAAGTTTAGGAACTAAAAGAGAGTTGTATAAATTGAGTTTGGAAAGCGCATGAAAGAAAAGAGAGAAGGGGCGTTGCAATACTGGAGGAAGAGGCCCCTCCAATGTAACTAAAATCAGGGTTAAGTACACAAAATGATTAATCCTTTAAGTCATTAACATAGATCAAATTAAACAAAAATGTAATATTCCCTTTCACAATTAGACTACCCTCGCAAATGATTCTTGTTCTTTTTCTTCTTTTCCTATCAATTGTTACGTTGGCGTCTAGAATGGGCAAACTAATAAATTTCAAGACATAATTGTCAACCAAGTACCACTTTGCTCAAAATCTTCTCAATCAAGTACTATATATGTATGTACATCTGTATTTTGGGGGAGGGTTATAGCATCAAAAGTTGTCATCTCAACTACTTATTTCGTTACTTTTTTGAAAAATGTTTTTTTTTTATACCAAATACGCCCTAATGGGCAAAGAGAAGGGGGGAAAACAGTATAGTCGTATGGAGCAGGGTGGTCATGTTACAGTAGTTTAGTTATATATAATTATGGATATCGAGTTGGAGCTTAGGTATAAAGTTTTCATTATTACAAAGTGTTTTTTCTGACGCATATTCAAATTAATCAACCTTAAAACAGGTATCGGGAAACCAAAAAACAGAGCTATATAATTTTGGACATGGTGTGTACCCATTGATACAAAGGTCCAAAATATAACTGATTGGCATCACATGCTAAAAGAGTTGGAACACCAAAAGTATTCGGCCCCTCCATGTGCACTGCCTCCTTCATCTTCACTCCTCACTCATCGCCAGCTTATATATATTTTACTTAACAAAAAGATGCACCTTTTTAATTTCTTCTACACTATAACTCAGCCTTTAAAATTAAATCACTTCTGAAAAACAGAAATTAGTGACAGAAAGATTTAGTAGCTAAACAAAAAAATTCGTTGTATCAAGAAATTATATATGTTAGCTACAAGCTATTTAACGACAAAATTCATAGGTAGTTTCAGTGTTGAACCAACTCAATCAAGAACATATGCATGAAGTTAATTATTCTATCATATTGAAGCAACTTATACAGTGTGGAAATTATACAACTTCTGAGATAAAAACTAAGGCAACTACTACAAACACTGCAATGTTGAGATAAACTGTTAGAGAAAGAGCAGAAGAAACAGGTGAAAAAGCAGAAGGTGCAAGAGCAGCAGAATCAGGGCCAATAGGGAACATTTCATCATCTGGATTTTTGCTAGGATTTGAAGGAATAGTAGGCACAGAAGAAACAGAAGAAGCAGGAGGTACAACCCCACCAGGAGAAGGCAAGAGAGGTGCAATATCTGGAGATATCTCTGAAAATGGAGATGAGGCCACTTCCACTGGTGGATTTGCAATAAACTCTACTGGGGTTGCTGATATTAATCTGGCCATAATAAATATTGCTGCTACAACAACAAAGCAAAAGTTGCTGCCCATTCTCACACCTTGAATTCAATTCAATTCTTTTCTCTTACTAATGATGAAGAAATCAATATCACATAACCTTTTTTTTCTCTTTCTTTCTTTCTTGGAGAAAGATTTGAGAAAGTAGGGTTATGGGGGGCTATGATTAAAGGTGACCAAAAGGTTTGACAATTTATATGAATTGTGTGAGTGGTATGATTTATGTGTACAGGTTGGCATGTTAGGAAGTAGACAAAAATTCTCTTGGTGATTATGATATTTTATTCTTTTAACTGCTTTGTTTAAATTATTACATGCTTTTATCTAAAGGGTCTTTTATATAGGTTCTGATCTGGGATCCTCTCAAAGTTAATTATTGGGCAGTGGGCTATATTGCTTTTCTATTGCCCTAGTTGCAAATCACTGTTGGACTTCTGCTGTCTCAAGTACATGAACTAGCAAAATATTACTGTAGTTTCAAATAGTTAATAAATTTGTTTCAAATATATAGTTGATGTTTTATAAAAACAAAAACATTCAGTTTGAAGTATTACTTTTTTTTTTTTTCTTTCCAATCCGTCCTTACTGCTCTAATAGGTAAATATTAATTAAGTAAAACGTTTAAAAGATAAAAATAACAATTTAGACATATATTCTTATTATTAAGACTATGAAAGACGTGCAAGATCCTTAAATGATACTCTCTCCGTTTCAAATTAAATGAGCTATTTTCGTTTTTAGTCTGTTTTAAAATAAATGACACATTTATAAACTTGGAAATAATTCAACTTTAAAGTTTTCATTTTACTCATGTTATCCTTAGGGTCTATTTGAAAAGTCACCCGGTAATTGAAATCGATGTAGTTACTAGGATAGTAATTACATAATATGGTAATTACAACGACCTATTTGTTTGTCATAACGTAATTACAGTTTAATTACAAGTGTACTGTTTGGTTGCACAAGTGTAATTGCACAGTTAGATTAAATTTTAAATAAAGTAATTATCAAAACTTAAAAGTTAATATAATAACTATATACCTATAAATAATTTTTTATAAGTATAAATAATATTATATTTGGTATTTGAGATGCATATTTTTCTTGAATATACATTAATTGGTATATATTTATAACTAATATTATAAAAATAATTCATATAAATTTTCTAAATTAATAATATTTAGTTTATTAATTATAAAAACTAAAAACATAGATTTTGCAAGAACATCATGGAATTCATGTTTGGTACAATAAATTAATATTCATAAATATAATGTCATAACATTATTCAAATATTTGACAAAACTAATCTATCAATCCTAACTAAAAAATGAACAACATGTAGTGTGAAATAATAAGTCAATACTACTAAAATAAGTAAATTGAAATCATAAATATAAAACAATTTAAAATTCAAAAAAAATTAGTTTAACATATGTCAAATTTCAGCATAATAAAATAATTTCCAATACAACTTAAGTGTTACGATCCGGATTTTCCATCCTCGGGAGTCGTGATGGCGCCTACTCATAAAAGCTAGGCAAGTCGAGTGTTACAGATTTTATTACCCCTTTTTCCTTACCCCTTTTAACAATTTCAAATTAACATATGATCAACATCTGAATAATAATAATAATAATAATAATAATAATAATAATAATAATAATAATAATAATAATAATAAGGAATGTGGAAGAAGAAATCTCGTAATTTAACTTAATACAAATATGATTCCATAGAAATAATCCACCCAGAACTGGTGTCACAATCTCACGGGCCATCTAGGAATACTACGAATAGGGTCTGAACAAAGAAAATACATGTATGTCTCTGAAATAAGTAAGAGCAGAAGGAAATAGGATAGAAGGGGACGCCAAGTCCTGCGGATGTCTGCAGGACTACCTCGGGTCTCCGTTGGACTAAAGGCAGCAACCTCACTATGGTCCAAATGCTCCAGCATCGGGATCTGCATACAGTGTAGAGTGTAGTATCAGCACAACCGATCTCATGTGCTGGTAAGTGTCGAGCCTAACCTCAGCGAAGTAGTGACGAGGTTAGGACAAGACTACCAAATAAACTTGTGCAGTTAAATTATATACGGCAAATAATGATAACAAAAACTAGCAGTTAAAGATGGGAAGGGGGAACATGTTGCGAGGAATATCAAGTACTAACAAAATTTCAGTAGAGAAGCATAAAGAACACCATAAATTTCATATCAGCAAGAATAAGGAAAGCAGTAACAAGTGCACGGCATCACCCTTCGTGATTTTACTCTCGTTCTCACCATAAGAATCAATATTCACGTTTATTCTTTCTTATTGCGGTGTGCAACTCGATCCCAATCATATAATACTGTTGCGGCGTGCAATCCGATCTCAATCATATAATATTATTGCAGCGTGCAACCCGACCCCACCTGGCCACCCTTATTACTCCTTGTTGCGGCGTGTAACCCGATCCCATATAATATTATTGCGGCGTGCAACCCGATTCCAATATACAAATCAACACCAATCACAAAAGAATTCTGGCAAGGGAACAATAGTATAACAACAATATTCCGACAAGGGAAACAATATCATAAGTAATAACATCCCGGCAAGGGAAACAATATCATAAACAATAATATCCCGGCAAGGGATTCAACAATATCTCATCTCGTTTCCACAATCACTTCACAACATAAGTCTCAACTTGAGCCAATGCTCAACAATGGTCAATTACCAAGAATACTTTCATAAGCCTTGTTCAACATTTATAATCATCATATTAAGCGTGGACAATACATAACAGAGTCACAACAATCATAGTATAAGACTCACGGGCATGCTTGAAATCAACGTATAGATACTCGTCACCATACCTATACGTCGTACTCAACACTTAGCACGTAGCAAGTAAGACCACAACTCCTATTCCCTCAAGTTAAGCTTAGACCAAACACTTACCTCAAATTCCACGGCCAAACTCAAGCCTCAAGCACCATTGTTCCTTTAGATTTTGCCTCCAATTTACTTGTATCTAACCCAAATTAATTTAACAACATCAATAAATGCTAAAGAATTCAACCCCAATGCTAAATTATAGGTTTTCTATCATTTTCCTCAAAAAGTCAAAAATCGACCCCGAGCTCGCTTGGTCAAAGACCGAGGTTCGGACCAAAATCCAATTACCCATTCACCCATGAGCCCAAATATTCAATTAGTTTTGAAATCCGACCCCAAATCGAGGTCTTAATTCCAATTACACAAAAAGCCCTAATTCCACCCAAAATCCCTAATTCTACCATGGAAGAACAAGATTTAGGCCTAGAAATCTAATGGGTGTTGATGAAAAATGAAGGATATGGGTTTAAGAGCACATACCTATGATTTGATATTGAAACTCTTCTTCAAAAATCGCCCAAGGTCTGATTTTAGGGAAGGAGATATGAAAATATGGCTTATTCTCGCTTTGGTTCTATTTTTAATTCATTGGACAGACCTTCTTCGCGTTCCCGAAGCTTTGACTAGAAGAGCATTCGCGTTCGCGAGGTACTGTATGCGTTTGCAAAAGTTCACCCCCCCTGACCTTCGCATTCGCGAGCCAATCGCCGCGTTCGCGTAGAGCATTTTCCCTACCCCCAGTTCCCTGCAAAATGGCCTTCGCGTTCGCGATAGCCAGGTCGTGTTCGTGAAGGGTAACACTCCTAATGCTTCGTGTTCGCGACTTGTGCCTCACGTTCGCGTGGAAGGAATTTCCTTCAGACAACTTTTACTCTTCGCGTTCGCGAGAGTCCCTTCGCGAACGCGAAGAACAAAATACCAGCACACCAGAAGCAGTAATACAGCAGAAAATCTTAAGTCCAAAACACCCCGGAACCTATTTGAAACTCACCCGAGCCCTCGGGGCTCCAAATCAAATATGCACACAAGCCTATAAACATCATATGGACTTACTCGTGTGATCAATCGTCAAAATAATATCTTTAACAACGAATTTAGCATCAAAATCAAAGAAAAATCTCAAGAACTCTTATGTTTCAAATTTCACAACCGAGGGTCCGATTCACGTCATATGAATTTCGTTTCTTACCAAATTTTACAGGCACAACTTAAATACCATATTAGACCTGTACCGGGCTCCGAAAGCAAAATACGGGCCCGATACCATCAAATTCAAACATCTTTAAATTTCCAAAAACTCATATAATTTCAGTTAAATAATTTCTTTCAGAAATTCATTTCTCGGGCTTGGAACCTCGGAATTCAATTTCGGGTATACGCTCAAGTCCCATATTTTTCTACGGACCCTCCGGAATCGTCAAATCACAGGTTCGGGTCCGTTTACCCAAAATGTTGGCCGAAGTCAGCTTAAATTCAATTTTAAAGGCAAAATTAGCATTTTCCTCAATTTTTCACATAAAAGCTTTTCGGATATACGCCCGGACTGTGCATGCAAATCGAGGTGAGACAAAAGGAGGTTTTCAAGGCCTCAGAACACAGTTTGACTTTTAAAACAAGTGATGACCTTTAAGGTCATCACATTCTCCACCTCTAAAACAACTGTTCGTCCTCGAACGGACATAAGAAGAGTACCTGAGCTGGGAAAAAGATAGGGATAACGGCTCCGCATATTGGACTCGGACTCCCAAGTAGCTGCCTTGACAGGCTGACCTCTCCATTGAACACGAACCGAAGGAAAACTCTTTGATCTTAACTGACGAACCTGCCAGTCTAGAATAGCTACCAGCTCCTCCTCATAGGACAAGTCCTTGTCCAACTGGACAGTACTGAAGTCTAACATGAGATGGATCGACGTGATACTTCTGAAGCATGGACACATGAAACACTGGGTGCACAGCTGATAAACTTGGTGGCAACACAAGTCTATAAGCCACCTCTCCCACTCGATCAAGAATCTCAAAAGGACCAATGAACCTAGGGCTTTGCTTGCCCTTCTTCCCAAATCTCATCATGCCATTCATGGGCGACACCCAAAGTAACACCCGCTCTCCGACCATGAATGCCACATCACGAACCTTACGG